CGTTTTCGACCAGACCTTTGCCTAATACCCTATCCAATTTTAAATTTAAATTTTGATTGTGCAGATTCTGATTTTATCTTGTGTTTTTTTTAATGCTGTTAATCGAAAGGCAGCATGCGGATCAAATAAGTAAAATTAGCAGAGGGCTTTGCTGTATAAGCGTAAGTCAAACAAGTGGCCGGGCAGAAGGGACACTCGAACCAGCGTGGCTGGGCTGGGCCAGGCCTAGGCCTGCTCTTCCTTCTGCCCCTTCAGCTCCTCTCCCCGAGTGGCCGTTTCTCCTCCACGTGCCACGATGTTCCGGCGCATGCGCCCTGAGCCCCTCCGCGCGCGGCCTCCCCCTTTCCCTCACCGTGACGGTGACTTCGTCGTCGTGCAGGATGAGGGCGGAGTAGATGCAGGCGAGCTCGGAGACGGAGGCCATGGCGGGCAGTCGGTGCGCGGTGCTAGTCGCCGGCTGGGAAATCGGCCTTAGCTTCTGCTGAAGGACACAGCACCTTACGCGCCTCGCTGAGGGAGCTTGGAGAAAGGGAAGGCCCCTCGCCGCCGACCGAGTTTATAAAGGCTGCCCCAGCCAATCCCGGCTCGCTCGCGGCGGGGCGCTCTGGCCAATAGCGGAGAGCTTGGCGGACGAAGAGCCAGTCGCGTTGCGGCGGGGCGGGCTTTAGTCGGCAGTTGGAGAGGGGGGAGAGATTCGCGCGAGAACACGAAGACCAATCGTAGCGGCGGGTACTCCTCGGTTGGCGGCGGCCGCGAGGAGTCGAAGAGGCCAAAGCCAATAAGAGAGGCGGTTGTTACTTTCTTGCGTCGACGCCGTCTGGGGCCAAGAGGCTCCATGGGTAATGTGTCTAGACTTCAGAAAATTCTAGAGTAACTCATCCCACGTTCTGAAGAGAGAGATTCTGGTTACACACTGGAAGCCATATTTAAATCCTGGGGCAAATGTAGGCTCCAGAGAACAATTATACGAGGGAAGGCGAGTCTGCGGCCCTTGCCAGGAAAAATCCTGAGAACCGTCATTTCTAAAAAGTTACTGAGAATTGTAGCTCTGTGTGAACCAGGATTCTTGGGGGATAAATGTGTAGTATGCTTTTAATTATGTACTATTTTATTCTGTTTTTATGCTGTGAACCACCCTGAGATATTCAGATGAAGGGCGGTAGGCAAATTTGAATAATAATAATAATAATAATAATAATAAGATGCCCCCATCCTTGAAAGCCTTGTTATCACTTCATTTAGGAGAGTCCCTGAAGTACTCTGACGCTTCGCTGATGACGTCACGGAGGCGATGGGGTGGGGGGAATCCCCGAACAACGTTCCCCGCCGCCTTCCTTCTTGCTTGGAAGTACAGTATCGAAACATCAAAGCCGACCAATGTATATTCCTGTTCGGCGCCTGCGCAGTGCCTCCTTTGAGCCACCCACGCAAGCGGAGCCGCTTCCACCAACAAAGATGGCTACCGGAAGTGGAAGGAGAGAGGCTGTTCCGTGAGCCGCTCTCAACCCCGCCGCTAACTCTCAAACGCCTTGTGCGCATGTCACATGAGGCTGGGAAAGCTTTTAAGCCTCGGTTGTTGCTCCGTTGCTAGGCGGCGTGGGAGTCAGCCAATAGCGGAGGAGGAAGGGGGCGGGCAGCTGTTTTTTAAACTCTTAGAGGGGCCCCATTCACAGTCCTGGGCTCATTGAAGTAACCAGGAGCGGCCAAACTCCACCCCCCTCCTCCCGCCACAGACACACCGCTGCCTCCCGATCAACGCTGCGTCGCTCAAGCCTTTGTCTCTCTCTTTTTTCCTGCCTGGCAGAAATGCAGGCAAAGTTGACTGGCCCTTTGGTGCCCGCGCCAATGCTCAGAGATCGTTCTCTGCTCAGCATTGGGCTATGGGGAGGGGAAATAGGACAAGGAGGGAGGGAGGACAAAAGTCTGATTTTTCGAGGAAAAAGTGCTAATTGGAAGGAGGGGAATAATTTGGGTATGTGATCACCCCACATCACACCCCAGTATCTTCTCGGAAGGAATTTCCTGCTTTGCCCTGCTAGGACTTTAAGTTTCCTAAGTTTCCCCAGTTCCTAGGGTCAAGTATACCTCTCTGAGTGTAACAGGGGTCCCCCCCCCCATCAATAACCCTCATCACCCCTAACAAATGATAATTCCCAGGATTCATTGGAGGGAAGCCATGACAGTTTAAAGTGGTATCATAGTGCTTTAAATTTGTAGTAAAGACAGGGCCTAAGAGGAAACACACAAGCCATGCCTCTTTAGCAGGATATAGTGGTACCTCGGGTTAAGTACTTATTTCGTTCCGGAGGTCTGTTCTTAACCTGAAACTGTTCTTAACCTGAAGCACCACTTTAGCTAATGGGACCTCCCGCTGCCGCCGTAGCACAATTTCTGTTCTCCTCCTGAAGCAAAGTTCTTAACCTGAAGCGCTATTTCTGGGTTAGCGGAGTCTGTAACCTGAAGCATATGTAATCTGCAGCGTATGTAACCCGAGGTACCACTGTAAGTCTGACATGGCTGGAGGATGGAGTGGTGGCAGCTGGGTGGAGGTGTCCTCAGTCATTCCACCTGCTTTCAAAGTTCTCTTGGCCTCCCTCTCCCTCAAGGAACTGGGCCCAAACAACATGGCTTGGTGGGTCTCTACAGCTAGGGCTTTGAGATTGCTCCCACACCCGTGGGGGTTTCTGGCCTGGGTTCAATGCAGTTGCTGCGCTCGCCAAGCCAGCAACCGAAGCTCTAGCCAGCAAGACTAGGGGGCTGTGACTGGGTTGCCAACTTTGCACCTTTGCAGTTTAATGTCGCTGAAAGATCACAGCAACTTGCTGCCTTTTAGACCTTAGTAACACTTTGAGGCTAGTAGGTAAAGTGACAGCCTCATTATGCCACAACCTTGTTGCCCCAGCCTCAGAAGTGGCATGCAAAAGGTCCTGGGTTCGGTCTCCACCAGCATCTTCAAGTAGAGCAGCTGACAGAAGAGGCAATACTGAGATCGACAGACTAATGGCCTAATTCAGTACAAGGCAGCTTCCTATGTTCGTTATACTGTACTGCAAATAAGGCAGAAAACATAATTGTCCCAGGGTCTGTTAAAAATAGCTCACATTGGCTTCCCTGTGTGTGTGCCTGTGTATGGGCACTAGAGATATCTTGCATTTATTTAGGCATAATTTCTAGAAATTCCGAGGATGATAAAATGTGGGTGGATGAACGAGGTATACTGTTAAGTGAATTTGTAACTGGTTAACTGACCAAACCTAATGAATATTCATTATCGGTTCCTTATGATCCTGGGGAAAAATTGACAAGTGGGGGTGCTGCAGGGTTCTGTCCTGGGTTGTTCAACATCTTTGTAAATGACTTGAAGGAATCGAGGGAATGTTTATCAAATTTGCAGATGACACCAAACTGGGAGAGGTACCTAATGCCACAGAAGACAGAATCAGAATACAAAATGACTTCAACAGATTGGAGAACTGGGCCCAAGTTAACAAAATTAATTTCAGTAGGGACAGATGTAAGGTCCTGCAGTTATGCAGGAATAAATAAATGCACAAATTTAAGATGGGGTAAACTTGACTTAAAGAATCCAGGGGTCTTGGTGGACCACAAGCTTAACATGAGACAACGGTGTGATGCAGCTGCAAAAAAGCTAATGCATCAACAGAAGTATAATGTTCAGATCAAGAGAAGTAACAGTCCCACTCTATTATGGCCGGGAGGTCAGAATCGCGCCAGAATACAAAGACCAATTGTTAGGGATAACCCAACATTATAAAGAGTTCACTTGGTGGAAAGAGACAGTAGCATAGGTATGAGATGATCTTCTTGGGGTGGAGGTATTCTTTCGTAGATGGGACAATACCACTGAAAAGACTCAGAAACAGGTGCCAAAAAATAGTATTTTGTAAATGGGCAAAGTTGGATTGTAATGTCTGCCTTCAAATATCACCATCATCACCATCATTTGATATTTATCACCAGCAACAACTTTTTTTCTCTTCGACATACTCGTTTCTTTAACTCCCAGCAAGAAGAGCTTGTGTCATGACGAAAACTAGGTTACTATATACAATAGTGGCTTTCTAGATGTGACATTGCTGAACTGCTGCCTCAAGAAAGATGCTCGTGGTCCAGTTGGTTATCAAAGGGTGCTGTGCAACACCTTGGTGTGGCGGGAAGGTTCAAGGGAAGGTTCAATTATATTTTGGGACTGCTCTTAAGTAGCCGCATCGTTTTATATTTTCTGGATGTCTCGTGGCCGTATTACAAAGCAGTGGTGTTTTATATCCTAAATCTAGCACTGCTATGTGTCGCTCCTTTCCGTTTTACTTTCTTGTCAATGAAAAAAATTGCCGTGGCGCGAGCACATTTTTATTCCGAAAGCGTAGCTCAGAGGGAGAAAAAATAAAGTTTGAGAACCACTGAGCTGGAGTCTCTGTGGGGCTTTTTGACCATCTTTGTCGAACCCGAAACTGTGAGGTGATTTTAAAAAGTACGCGCGCGCACGCAAAAAAACCCCCCTCGTCTCATATACACTTCTTGTTTCTCGCTTCAAAAACATTCCAGCGCCTGGTCTTCTTGGGGAAAAAAAGATTTTGGCTTGTGTGTTGTGTTTTTTTTAAGTTCAAAAGTGCTACGTGAGGCGGCGAGGCACACGGTGCGACGAGGGCATCTGAGGCAACGGGGCCGCCACCGCCGCTGCGTGAGGGGAGGAAACGAAAGCCGGGAGCGGAGGAGGGCCGGCGCCTGACGGGGCGGAGCGTCTGGCTTCGCCGCCGCCGCCGCGGCCTCCTTCTCCTCCCTCGTCCACGGGCTCCGCCCTCCGCCGCGGCCTCCGACGTCGGCTCCTCCTCTCGGGCCCTGCCCGCCTCGCCTCAGCTCGGCTCCCTCCGCCCTCAGCAAAGCCACCATCAACCGTGCTTGGCGCCGGAGTTTGGCGGGGGGGCCTCGGCAGCCGACGAGGGAGGAGGAGGAGGAAGAACAAGAGGAAGAGAAGGCGGGCTTTATTTTTATTTCATTACCATCGTCACCATTATTATTATTTTCCCTGCCGCCTCGCCTCCCCCCTCCCCGCCCGCCGCCGCCGCCGCTCTCCTCATAGAAGAAGAAGAAAAGGGCGCCACGCCGCCCGCCCGAGGGCCGCCGCCATGTACACGGCGGGGGGAGCGGCCCCCGTCGCCGCGGGACCCGGTGAGTGAGCCGCCGCTTCTATCCCCCAAACCCCGCCAGTTCCACGAGGGATCGGAGAGAAAGGCGGCGCTTCTCCCTCTTCTCCCCCCCCCCCCAAAAAAAAAAATTAAATGGGTGGGCAGCGCTGAGGCGGGAACCGGGTTTGTGAGGAGAAGCAGCAGCGAAGGAGGCGCACGAGGCGCCGCCAACGGTCTCTCGGGAGGGAGGGGGCAGAGGGAGGGAGGTGCGCGCGCTCCCTCTCGCGCGGCCGGGCTCTGTGAGGGGGCGCTCGGTACGTTTCCCTCAGCGCGGCCGCCCCCGCCGGCGGTCTCGCCTCAGCCGCCCGGCCTCCCTCCCTCGCTGCCGGCTCTCCTCCTCCTCCGCCAGCTGCCTGGGCGAGACCCGGAAAGAGGAGGAGGAGGAAGGCGGCAGCAGCGGGAGGGTGTCGGTTGCGGGTGGAGGGAGAAGAGTTTTTTTTTAAGTCTCCTCTTCCCCGCTTTTTTACCTCAGCTGTGGAGTCGTGGGGGGGGGGGGGAGAGGGCGAAGGAGGCGCTGCGCTTCCCGAGGCTCCTTTAAAAAAAATAATAAAAGTAATAAAAACCACTTGCACTCAGACTTGCAGTTCGGCGGCCTCCCCTTTTTCCCGCAATTGATTTTTTTAAAGTGAAAAGCACGCGCACACGCACACGCACAACCCCCCCACCCCCCGGTTGCGAGTGAGGGATGGGCATCCTCGCGACAGCGCCGCCTGAGAGACCCCCCTGGTGTGGGGGGCGTGTTGGGTGGTCGCGAAGCATCAGGGCCCCTGGCTGCGCGGGGCGGGAGAGAGGGAAGTGGGAAAATAAATAAATTAAAGGGGCGCCTGTGTGTGTGTTTTGTATGGCTGCCTCCTTTGTGTTTTGGTAGTGGCTGCCCTCGCCGTGTTGTGGTTGCCTTTCTCTGTTGGCCGGTTTGCAGTTTTAAGAGAGTGAAGCCAGACAATGGGCATTGCCCAAAAGATGGGGTGGGTGATGGGGGCAGACAGGGTCTAGGTAGGCGAGGTGATGGCAGGAGTTTCTTTGCCTGGGCTGGATGTGAAAAAGAGTTCAATCTGCTACTACCATCCAAGAGCTGCCATCCAAGAGGCCCACTGGTGCTAAAACAGAACCACTTTATTTTTCAATACGTATGCAGCACCACATATATAATGCCCACCTTTTATTCCTGCATTGCAGGGGGTTGGACTAGATGACCCTGGGGTCCCTTGCAACTCAACAATTCTATGATTCTATTTATGCACACATATATACGAAGCATAAGAAGAGCCCTGCTGGATCAGGCTGGTGGCTCATCTAGCCCAGCATCCTGTTCTCACAGTGACCAACAAGATACTTGTGGGTGTGTGTGTGTGTGTATCTATATATCACTATGTACATTATAAATGTATGTTTGTGTATGTGCACACATACACATACTGTTACACGTGTGTGCGCAAATGCATATATGCATTTGGGTTAGTGTGATGTGCTGGATTAGGGAGGTAAAGGTAAAGGTACCCCTGCCCATACGGGCCAGTCGTGTCCAACTCTAGGGTTGTGCGCTCATCTCACTTAAGAGGCCGGGAGCCAGCGCTGTCCGAAGACACTTCCGGGTCACATGGCCAGCGTGACGAAGCTGCTCTGGCTAGCCAGCACCAGCGCAGCACACGGAAACGCCGTTTACCTTCCCGCCAGTAAGCGGTCCCTATTTATCTACTTGCACCCAGGGGTGCTTTTGAACTGCTAGGTTGGCAGGCGCTGGGACCGAGCAACGGGAGCTCACCCCGCCGCGGGGATTCGAACCGCCGACCATGCGATCGGCAAGTCCTAGGCACTGAGGTTTTACCCACAGCGCCACCCGCGTCCCTGGATTAGGGAGACACAGGTTCAAATCCCCACTCAGGCATGAAGCTGACCAACCTTGGGCCATTCATCCTCACTTACAGATATTTATGGATTATATTTATATCCTGCCTTTCCTTCAGGCGCCCAAAGTGATGTATGTGGTTCTTCAGCTCCACGTTATCTTTACAGCTGTTTTGTATGGTAGGTTAGGTTAAGACAATAGTTACTGGGCCAAGATCACTAGGTGAGTCTCATGGCTGCATGGGGATTTGGATCCTGGTCCCACACTAACCACTACACAATATATATTATGGGATATAAACACAATAATATATTGCACACAGACACATATGCACACCCCATTTCTCATATGTCTTCATAGCATCTTGCTGCCAGCTGCACACCAAATGTTGCACTTCTGTTTCAGTGCGAAGGTATGGTTACAAGTTTACTCACACTTCCAAGTTTACTGATATGAGGTAACTGCCACCCCCCCCCATTCACATTATCTCCATGTAGTATCTCTTCTGGATCCAGAACCTGCCAGAATAGGGGGGACCCCTTATGTTAGGGGTCCATTTTTGGTTGTCAGAGTGACCTGGCAATTTTTGTGCCCCTTCTCAAAATATGGAGTGCAACCCTCAGATTGAGAACATTTTCACTGCTGGACCGAACTGGAAATATCTGAGTTACTGATGGGCACTGTCATTACTATACTGTATAATTTGTGTGTGTTGTGCAAGTTACATTCTGTTGTGCACAGGCAATACAGCATCAAAGCTGAACAGGTGAAATTAGGCATTTTGTTTATTCCTTCTGTACCAAATATTTGTCTTGTTGAAACAACTGCCCAAAATAAGAACGTATGGAAGTGCTGGTAAACTTGACTGGCAAGCGTGCCACAAGTCTGGTCCAAAAAATAGTGCCACAACAGTGCGCATGTTGCATCCATGCCTTTTGTACTGAACAGAAAGCAAGCAAGCATAAAGACAAACAGCTTGGGAATCTGAAGATGTGCTTCTCCTGGCTATGTTTGCAACAAACTAGCTCCCTTTGCTACAGGTTGACCTCATATGATGTGTTGGATCAATGAAGTGTACTGAGCTCAATTGCTGTTCCATTGTTTTCTTGTTTTTATATACTCCATATAGTAAAAAATTAGCAATTTAAACAGTTTAACATCTCTGGCAGCCCTTTAAACATACTACTAGCTAGGGTTTCACAGAGTTTATCCAGTCTAAAACCACTTTTTGTTTTCTTACTCTCCTTGTTGAATTAGCATACAGTGGTATCTTGATTTACGAACTTAAACCGTTCTAGAAGTCCGTTCTTAAACCAAAACCATTCTTAAACCGAGGGGCACTTTCCCTAATGAGGCCTCCCGCTGCCCTTCCACTGTTCAGCTTCCGTTCTTAGACCGAGGTAAAGTTCGCAAACTGGGACACTACTTCCGGTTTTGTGGAGTTCTTAAACTGAATAGTTTGTAAACAGGGCTGTTCTTTAACCAAGGTACCACTGTATTTGAGATGTTCCTGGGCATCTCACTTAAGGCATGTTACCTGGGGTTTCCAGACAGGTAGCATGTTAAAAGTGCAGTAAGTTGTATAGCTATTCCATCAGATCAGATCAGATATTTCCCTTCTAATAACTGCTTCTGTTGTGAGGAAGTTGCATTTTCCGCTGCTCTCAAACCTGATGCTTGTTGCTAGGAAAACATAACTATTAGTCAGTCCAGGGTGTGCTCTAGCTGTGCCAATTCTTTAATTCTGTGGATGCTGTTGGCACTATTTCTAATGAGGAGTGTGTCTCCCCTCCTGAAATGTGTGTGCTGTTTTGTGAAAATTGTAGAAGTTTGCTTTGCTTCTTAGAACATTCTGCAGAGGCTGAGCATGTTTCTGCAGCACCTACCAGTCCATCATGCAAAGTTAAACACTTATCTTGCCTTTTAAAAATAGGTGGCAAACATGAGCAAAGCAACTTTTCTTTTCTGGCAGCAGTTCTTAGCCGCATACCCCACTCCTCCAGCATTGCTGATTTAAAAACATCCAGCTCCCTGCCTGTCCATCATGTGTGTGTGTGTGTTGGGGGGGGTAGGGTGTATTGTACCCAGTGTGCAAAACACCCATTGCTCTAGGTACATTTTGCGACAGGGAATTTCATTAGCATGAGCAGTTTCTGAGCTCAGGGTGCAGTACTACACCTAAGATTTCAGATTAAAACTGCAGAGTGGGAGGAAAGGAGGACCTTTTTCTGCCTCCCCACTTCCAGCTACTCTCTGTAGATTGGAGAAGATACCCTCTTAAGAATATTAGGGTGTGGACAGGGGAAGGACTAGATCATGTGGAAAATGAACATACCGTATTTTTCGCTCTATAAGACGCACCTGACCACAAGACGCACCTAGTTTTTGGAGGAGGAAAACAAGAAAAAAAAATATTCTGAATCTCAGAAGCCAGAACAGCAAGAGGGATCGCTGCGCAGCGTAGGTACGAGGGTCCTAGGCCGTGAAGGGCTTTAAAGGTCAAAAAGTCTTATAGAGCAAAAAATACGGTAATATTTTAGCTGCAGTTTATTCATTTTCAACTTTGTATTCTTTTTATTTACAAAGCTCACCTAAACATTCCGTTGTTGCACCCATAACCTAAGTTTAAGGTGCCATTTAGCTCCTAGCTTTCATAGCTCAGTTTCTACCACTGATTGTACTACAGGTGTAAAATGTTAGATTTATTTTTAATGCCTGGAAGTCATCTGACATTGCCCATAGAGTTGTAAAGTGTAAACACACAGCAGTAGTGACTTTGCCCTCCCTGCTGTCTTTCATAGTGTTCAGATACATACAGAGGGATCTTAACAATATCTCAGTTGCCACTTCCATATCACACCAGTCCTGTATCTCTTCTTCACCCCTGATTGGGAGAAAGGTGGGATATAAATACATTAGATAAACGAATACTGTCTTGCCTGCCTATTGTAGATTGCAAGGCTTCTGGAAAGGAATTGTGTTTCTTCTGATCAGCTATCTAGTAGTTTGTGTGCTGTTGTCACTGAATTAATGTAATAGGAATAAGTGAAGTGTAATGCATAGGTGATTTTCAGAATCAGCCTGCCTGATACTAAGCAAGGTTAATTGTACCGCCTGAAAGTATTTCCCCTTCATAT